TATGCCATGCTAACATTCTGTTTCCATCTTTGGAAAGCTCAGCAAGTCAGTTAAAATCTCCTCTTTGTGAGAGAAAAGACATTATGCAAAAGACCACTAAAGTTTAAACACATTAATAGCTTTTTCCTATGAATGAGTGAAAAGAAAGATGTGACTTAGGCAACATCTGCATTCTTCTCTAGATTTATATTGCCACTTAGGTTTCCAGTGATAATGGTACAGCTAACAGTCACTGTAGGAGCATTGATCCAAACATAAAAACAAGTGTGAGAAAAGCTTTGTTTCATATACATTGGACATCTTCCCTTCATTTGTGCATTAATCAGTAACAGACATATTTGAGCATCCTGCTACAGGAGGTGATTTGACTTTCACAAATTTCCCTAAGAGCAGAAACATCATCAGGAACAATTTCAAGGAAATAATTATGGTCTAGACAGATATATGACTTCTAAAGACCTAATCCAAAGCACATTAATGTCAGTGGAAGGACTCCCATTGACATCAAAGGCCTTTGGATCAATCCCCGACTGCTGTGGGAATGAATTCAGAGTAATAATGATGGTGGACTAAATGCACGCTTGCAGTTGAAATGTTACCACCCGGACCTTTTTATTCCTCAAATCAGATTAAAAAGTAATTTTCTGCTATTTCACAATTACTTCCAGATGCGCATCATCTCAAATGGCATTTTCATCCATCTGTATGAGCCAAACGTACACAGAGATTGAGAAGTTCTACACTGCCTGAACTAATAATACAAATGAAAACCACAAGGGAAAATAATTTTGGAGGTGACGAAGTTCATGTTTTAAACAGAGTGAGGAACCTTGGACTTCATTTATTCCTTCTAAATACTTTGGGATAGAACTGCCAGGATCACCACTTCTTCATTTACTGCCATAGTAGATTTTTTTCTAATTAAATTTTAAATATTTTTCTTTAGTGCCCTAAACAAAACAAAAGGATACATGTAAATCAGTGCTAGCCTCAAACTTGGCAGCCTAAAAGCTGTCAGAAATGTCAACTTCATACACTCCCTGCTTAATAACAGCTCTGCTGTCCCTTCTGTCCTCTTAAATGTCTATTTACATGCTAAATAATTTGAAGCATCACTCTTCTCTGACCACGTTAATCTGGTTTTATTCCCATAGCAGTCAATAACATCTTAGACTGTAAAATGAAATGCCAATGTTGTGTGCAAGTGGCAACCTATTTAGAGTTTTACACAGGAAAACTCAACTCCAAGATGTGACTGATCAGTAATCAACATCATGTGTTACTCTGAAGTGCGTCCTATGGGAATCACACATCTTTTATTCACTCCACTAGCAATACTTCATTTAGGCAGGTTCAGTTATCATGTATTTATTGTGATATGAGCATGTTATGGACTGGTTGAACTCTGCCTTACCAAATTAGTTTCAGGAAGTTTGAGAACTTTCTTTAGGAAATTATATGTAACACTTTTTTTGTTAAACAATGCACATTTCCTAGCATAATTCCATCTTTCTGTTTCCAATGAGTATCTGACTTATTACCTCAGTCTCTGTACCCTTCTCTGCACTTCAGAAAACAAGATTTTTTTCTCCTTCTTCAGTTACTATGTATGGGAAACCAGATTACTAGTGACTATGCTACTACCTAGATTCAAAAAACAATGAGGTAGAGAACAAATAACTGTTTCGTTTTGTTTTAAATTGATGTTGATCACTGGGTACTAAGAAGATCTGAATAGTAAGGGAATTCAGGCTGACAGAGGAAGGCAATATTGGCTAGAAGTACCCAAGGAATTAAAATGGTTCACAATTCATACACTTTCTGGGCTATACTTGTAATGGAAGTGGTCCTTTAGGTACGCACCCGAGTCCCAAGGAGTTATTTTTAACCTGGTTTCCTCAAGAATCAAAGCTTATGCAAATGGACTGTGTACATGTGTGAAACTTTCAAACCCTCTCACCACATCTAGTAACTTGGGACTCTCTTGGCCAATTCAGTCTAACTTTTAGAAGGGCAAAAGTCACAAAGTCATTAAATTCTTACAAGCTCTGTGGATATAGGTGTCCAGATAAAGGGGGAATCCTGCTATTACCCTAACTCAGGGGCATCAAAGATTCACTCTGGCATTCATCCTCCAGCTGCAAATACAGAGGAACTGCTCAGGAGACTACTATTTAACCTGGTGCTGTTCCAATATTTTCTTCCATGAAAAATTAACTCTGTATTTTAATACACCAGACACTAGTAAGCCTCCCACCTTACTCTAAAAATATTTTTTCAAGACACACCAAAAGCAGCAACATCCTTTAGTCATGATTTGGCACCATCTTTTACACGAGTTCACGCTTCAGCGCATTTTGTTATCAGACGTGCACAAGAATATTGCACCTGGAATACACAGACTGAACAAGTATGAGCACTTCAATTTAAATTTGCTGACTTTCATTAGTTTGACACCAATAAACAAACTATTCCATCAATTCTCCAAAGCAGCAGGCAACCCCTGGGAATGATACATGTGAAACCTTTTATGCATTAAAATACATGTAAATTATGTCAATAGGGAACTGCCCAAGCAAATAAAAAATTAGTTAGGGAAATAACACATCTAAGAAATCTAAACTATCAAGATTATAATTTCAGGGATCTGAACTTCTCCAGCAACAAACCATGACATTACTACTGTATTTTTTTTCCATCTTTACATCTTATCGGTGTGAATATACACAGTAGATAACACCAGACTCTTGAACAAGGTAAAAATGAGAAAGTACCTTTTCTGGTTATACTGAACTTCACTACCAGGGAAATTTTCTCTTGCCTTTACATTCACCTTTAATGTCCTTCTCCCCTTGCCCCTCTCCAGCCCAGCTCTTTACGATTTTTAATACCTTTTCAACATGTCCAAGGCAGAAGTCAGATTGGCCAGCTGTAGTCACAGGAGATGACACAGAACTACACATTACTTTTATAACTGAATACATAGTTTAGACAATTTGTTGGATTTTAAAAGGGTACATTAACTTTACTGGGGTGCATTAGGTAAGGTGAGACAATCCTCTTCTCCCTATGAATACATTACACATGTAGCCAGACGTCTCCTAAGTCAATGATTCAAAGCAAATTTACACACTACCAAAAAAAATCAGCATAATCAGATGAACATATACATAAACCAATATATTAAGTATACTTTTCTTCAAGTACAAACTGTGGTATTATTTTTACAATGAAAACATGGGAAAAATTTCAGTATCAGCTTTTTAAAAATGGTTTAGAATGATCAGTATAAGTCACATGAGACATAAGAATGCACATGACTTTGAAGTGCTGATGCCCTATTAAATGCATTCCTTCAAAGCAAGAGAAAGCATTTGTTCCTAGTGTTGCCTCTCCCTACATTTCACATCAATTAAAATACAACCAGAGAAAGCATTTTGGTTTTTAGTTCCACATTCAAGGAGTACAGTACTGACATATCAGGTAATTAAGTTACTTCAGAAAAACATGCCTTTAGCCAGAGTGGTAAGAAATGTGCTACTCATTTCCCCTTTCCTTCAGACTTCAGCCATTGGGGTGAAGGTGATTGTTAGGCAGAGGAAGGCATATAAGCACCCACCAAGGGGACCACTGCTCCCATGAACATTGCTTTGAGATAGGTGGACTGAGTATGGTTAAGTAAAAAATAATTTCCTCCTAAGCCAGGAGAACTCCTTCACGGTTTTGTTACTACTATCCAGAAATTTAGGATGAGAGAGACCACTGTTTCTCCCCTTCCTCGGTCCTGCAATATTTGAGGTTATTTCTGAGCCTTTCAAGACTCTCCTTTGACTCAAATCCTAGCAATACATGCTTGTGGTACATAAATACTTATGTAAACATATTTTACTTCAAACATTTAATCTTGCCAGGTGAACATAAGAAAGATAATGCTGATGTACTTTTCACAGAAGACTCAGCCCACAGTTTTAATTTCCTAGTTTTTATTAGCTTACCTCACTTGACAAAAATATTAACACATCTTGAGAAGTACATTTTATTTTCTTGTTTCTCAAGAAAACGTTTGGTTGCTACCATCTCATTAGAGGCATCAGCTTGTAATTGGAACAAGTTTTAAATTGAAAGAAGCAACTGAAACAATGGTGCTGATGTGCCACCTCAGTACTTCAGATGCCTGCTTGCTCATATCTAAAGTTGTTTTTATGTTCAATATCAATATGCAATTAGAAAGAGACAATGTACATAGTGCTGGGCCTCTGCAGAGTACTCTTTCAGCATTTGTAAGCTCCTTTCTTGTTTATGCTGCCAGAGTCTATCAAGCAACTCTCATGTTGACACAATCAAGCAACCAAAATGAATGGCTATAAATACAGTCAAAGCAAGAGATAACACTAAGCAGAACAACTAAGTCCTCATTTGAAGATGAAACAGCATTTTTGAGTGAGCAGTATGTGATTAACCTGCTGTATGTGGGGTCAATATGATTTCAATATGATTTATTCCACAGCTATGCAGTCAGTCTTAGCCCCAGGCCTCACTTGCTATCAAAGACACGGAGCCTTCCTCAAATCAACCCTCCCCTACATCTAGCTAACACTCGAAGCTCTTACTTAGGAAAATTAACTATCCTGTCCTTCATTTAAACTATTTCCACCCCTGCTTGGAAAGAACTGTTAGCATAACAGGCAGTTTAAACAAGTGTGCTTTCTAGCCTCCAGTCCAGCTATCTGCCACCTGCAATGTTCCAGCAGCCTAAAAGCAGATCTTGAAAACCACAGGTGGGGGGGGAAGGAGTGCTTATTTTGTCTAAATTCCGAGTATTGCTAGAACAGTACTCTCTTGTTCCAATACCAAAGACTAAAAAGCAGTAGCCCATTACATTTTAAGACAATCAAGTGGTTCAAAATGGAGGGACAGCACTGGCTTTGGTTCAAATATTTAACAGAAACGCTACATTTCATTAAAAAAAGCTCCTTTGCTTGGAGGGACAAACCTCTTACCTTTTGTAGCTATTCGAACACACTGAGTTTTGGTTTCCTGTTGAGGAGGGAAAAGTACAGAAAAGTCAGATCAGGTTGCTTTTTCTTGCCCTCCCCACTCCATAAATTTGTCCTAGATCTGCTGATCAGCTAAAGTAACCCAAAAAGGTGGCTCAGGGCTCTGGGCTTAGCAGGGGAGGAGGCTGAGTGATTTTGCCTTTACAAAAGCTGGATGAAACATAAACATTGGTCTGTCCTATTCAGGATAATGATGAGGAGAAAAGGTTCAGGACAATCCACATATTGCTAAATTTCAGATTATTCAAATCAAATGGAAATCATGCCATAAGAGTACAGCGAGAGGGCGCAGTGGAAGAAAAGGGCAGGACTGGTGCTCCTGCTTATTTCATGGCACAGGAATCCTGAGACAGCACTGATCTTGAACAGCATCATGCAGCAAAGAAGGTACATTTGTTCAGCACTGTGTCTAAACTAACTTGTCTTGCTGCATCCTGATGGTCTTGAACAGTCACCTGAACCATGTCAGCAATGGGCTCCCTCATGCTTCTGAGTGTGAAATGAGCACAGAAGCAGCCCAGGTATCCTTTCACATATGACATGGTTAATCTACAACCTATATAATCTGCTCAGGAAAGGCAGTGATTTGACAGTGATGTGCTTCAAAAGAAGCTAAACATGCAAAGATAATTTTTATGTATTTTACTTCTCCCCAAACTCTTCAGAAGTTTGGTCAGCAATTAAAAAAATTGAACAGAAAAATGACTTGGTTATCCACAGTTTGGACAACTTGAACAGATGAGGGTCAGTCATAAATGGGTTTTCTGATCTTTATGTACAACGTGCAGGTATTTTAAAGGCAAATATACTGAAATAGCATGAGGTTGCGTGAGAGGATGCAGCTGCTGCTGTATTAGATCACTGTAAACAATATTAGCATGTAATTAGAAAACACAATAATGACAGTTTCATTCCATAAAATATGCTCTCTCTGGACCTGCACTCCCCCAGCACTCTATCTTCAAATACATCCCCTGGGATCTCCCTCCTCCTGAAGATTCCCAAGCAACAGGTAAAATACGTTGATACTGTTTCGTGAACACAGATTACAATAAAGACGAATTTCCAATGTAAATGAAAGCCCCACAAAGTTTACTGAGATAATGTTACCTAATTAGCGTTTTCCCCAGTCACTGGACTTACTTGTCCACTTTTGTTCAGAATGTCTGTGAGGATCACAGAGTAACCCTCATCCCAACCCTCCCGTGTCTTTCTGAGCACACTTTACTTCCCCTAGACTATTTTGGTGATCCCACTGGTTTACAGTAAAGCACCTGCTTAAATATACTGCAGCTCAGAGGTTATCTTACAACCACTAGATCTCTGAGCTGGCAGAATGCAGTGCAATCCCCTCAAAACCTCCTCCCAGATCCCCCTAGGAACAGAAATGTGATCTAAAGTTTTAAATCATACCAGACAAAACCATTTTAAACTCTCTCAAAATGAGATCAAGTTAAAGTAAAAAATAACATGTTCCTCCCTCATCTTCTACTTATCTGCCAAAATGTAAAAGCCAAAAAAAAAAAAAAATTCTGGTTTTGTGTTTAATGTTTTTTGTTTCACTTTCCCCTCCCATTTCTTTCTTCATGAATGAAACAAACTTCCTTACAATTTAGTCAGCTAGAAGCCAACAAAAGCAAAGGGAATATATATAGCAGGTGAGGCAAAATAGGAATGAGTGACTAGCAATTACCTTTTATTTTGCTTTTTCTGCTTCATACAGATCTATAGATAACAACTAGAAAGACAGAACAGTCAATTCCATCGGGAAAAGCCTCCAGTTCTCAAGCAGCTCCAGTACGTTTCATTAGCTCCTGCTCTGTCCCTATTCTGACTTGATGCATATGCAATTTTCATAACCATAGTTGAAGGTGAGATTTTCTTCAAAAGGCTCCAATGCAAGGCTGTCTGTTAGCTAGGATTTTTTTTCAGTCACTGCAGAGACCCAAATGTGAGGGTAAACAAGGCTTCTGCTCCTTTCTGATGGCTCTGCTGAGTCTCAGTGGCTATCAATCTGTCTATCAGGCCGTTCCTTTCTGACATGCCTGGACACTTCCTGTGGAGACTCTTATGGATAGATTTAAAAAAAAAATAAATTTTTAAATATCTGAAGCTTCTGTGCCTACTACATTTTCCCTCCTCAACAATCATCTCCTTCTCCCCCATTTTTCCTTTATGAGAGGAAAAACCATTCAAGAGCGACAGCATTGGGATCTCCCAATTGCAGAGCCACAGTTGCTTGTCCCATCTGGATCCTCCCTCCCTGGCACTTTCCCCCTTCCGTATGCATAGAGAGACAGCAGCAGTACTCAGTGATTTGAGTTAAAAATGAAACACCAAGGAGGTAACGAAGGTGAGCGACAGCCATACTCTCACTATTGCATAGCAGTGGAGTAATCCTCAACCAGACCTTTTCAGAAGGGGGCTTGAAAACATACCATGGGCCTGGGGTTACTTTTACTCAGCCAAATTTTTGTTTTTCATTTGCTGGTCAGTGTGAGAGTCCCCAGAAGTTTGTAACATTTTATTAGCCTGCTGAGCAGCCCACTTTCTGTTTATCCTGCAGTATTTAATCTTCTGAAGAATGCAAGTACTGAGAACTGGGGAAAGGGCTGTGGATGTTATTTACGGAGGAGGCAGAGTCACAGCACTGAAATGATTACTACAAGATGTATTAAACTTTCATCTAGTAGCAGCTACTATGATACAATGACGGTGTGAAATATGAGTGGCACACTGCCATGCCATCAAAGCAGTGCCATCGCCAACACCTACTATGTCCAACCCCTAATTTTCACCATGGCTATGTCTTTCACTCCCTCCAGGAGAAAGGTGTGGTTGGTACTTACCTTCTCAACACTGCTCATGGCCTGGAAATAGATGTTGTAGCCTTTCCGAGGAGCCAGCGGTGGGTTCCAGAAACCCTGGTAAGTCCTGTTGTCACCCACAGTAAAGGGGGCCGGCTCTGGAAGGTTTCCTGGAGGCAGCTCAGCAGCAAAGTAATACGGTGACCCTCCACTAAGAGCAGTCTGATATGTGACAGGGATTTGGTAGCACTCCATGGCACCCGTTTCTCGCTTTGTTCGGTGTGGGTGCAGCTCCTCAACAACGATCTGGTAGGCACTAGTGAAAAGAGGAAGACCAGCATACCTCTAAGATCACCTGCTAGGGTCAAATCTCTAGTCTGATTAAAAATATTAACCCATTTGCTCTGTGTAAACTTAAAAAGAAAACAAAGAAAAGAAAAGACAGCAGATGCATGGATGCAGAGAAGAAAGGCAGGCTTGAAATATAGCTAAGTTATCTAATTCAGCCTCTAGAAAGAAGCAGCATCCATTGTTTTCAGAAAAAAACAACAATACAAATCTATGCACAACCTCCTGACATTGTTTTGGGGCTTCTTTTTTTTTAGGCTTTTTTTCTTTGTAAGAAACACAGGAATTAATCTGACTTTAAATTACAATACTCTTGGCTAATCGGAAACATCTGAAGTTAGCGTTTTCCTTTGAAATTATATTAGAGAAAGCTCAGCTTCAAGGCCCAACATAATGACTGCCTCCAGGCTGTGCTTGAAGCACCAATTTGCAGTTGTCATATCGTTAGAGACAGAATGTGCTGACAGGCTTCTCTACCTCTTGACCTTGCTGTGGCTTCTATCTTGGCTTGGAGCTATGGAGATCTAAAGTACAAGTGACATGCTGTAATACAAGCACAGATGGACAGAAATCTGTCCGTTCCACCAAAATAGACTGTCTCATTCCTTTACAGTTGTCAATGATGAAACATTACAAATTGCTAAAGCAGATGGCGTTCGGCCTATTAAAACGCCATCCCAACCTCCCAATACCTCTCTTGAAATGGCCCATGGCTTGGTCACTTTTCAAAATCACCTGCTCAAAATAGAACAGGTAATTATAATTCTTTCTCCTTTAGGGGAACTACATAACTGTAGGATGTTACCAACTCATTATCAGCTTCCTCTACTCTGCAGAAGTGTAGAACTTGCATACTGAGAGCAGGAGGCAACTCTTTAGTTTATAAGAAAAAAATAAAAGAAAAAAATAAGTTTTTTGGGGTTTAGGAACTATACGTACGCATATGCACACAGACACACACGTGTATCCATACACGCAATTTCTCATTTATATGCAGATACATTTGAGGACCTTACAAAAGACTAGGAAGAAAATATGCCTATGAATTTAAACAAGACTTGAAGCTGATCAATTAAACTGGCAGGATTGCCTGTCTTGTTTTTCTTTTACAGATTTCTAAGCAGAAAAAGTAAAATTGAACAGAGTTCTTTCTGGAAGTGCCACTGCATTGCTGCAGGGACTCTGAAAGGCAAAGGCAAAGACAGTCCTCCTCATTTCAGAACTTACGGGGCAGCATTGAATTATTTTGTCAATTTTCTCAGCTACTAGTGCCCAGAAAACCCAATAACTGTAGTGGCAGAGATTAAGTATGATACTGGGGAATGGAAGAAAAGAGAGAAGGAAAAAAATAAGAAATTAGTTTTACATCTTTCTTGGGCTGAAAGAAGTTAGCATCTGCTTCTCCTAGCACCTAAAAAATTGAGGAAAGCTCTTCCCTTTCAAAGTGACCAAGAGGAATATAAAAAGTCACCATCCTCTAGGTAAAAAGAAGAACATAAACAAAAGAAATGATGGCTTAGTTCCAGGGATCTCTGTTTCTCATAAACTGTCTATGAACTGAACTTATAACCAAGGTGATTTATAAACAAATCACCTTCTGTGGTAAACTCTGTGTATTAACCACGTCTAGCTAATGCAGCCTGCACAAATCACTTCTACAGGACCCGGCACACCCAGAATCTTTCTTTACGCTTCAAAATTAATGTGCTATCAAAAAAAACCGTAAAAGCATCGCTATTTTACAAACTCCTCAGGATGTAAAATATGAAAAATAATTTTTGTTTACAATGTCCCGAGGGAAGAAATTGCCACCGGTGCTCCTCTCCTCCCTGGCCTGGCCTGGCCCTGGACCCAGCGCACCAAGCTGGGCAGCCAACCAACCGGAGTGTACTGGGAACACAGACACTGCGTCCCTGCTCCCTCCGTTCTGCAGTCTTTCGTCAGCTGCCAAAGGACTGGACTGACACAAATTCTGCTCTCCCAAGTGCCAGGAGAGCAGGAAACTTGTCATTTGTGACACTCTGACAACTGAGGAGGGGAGAGCCAGCTGGGAGAGCAGAAGGACAGTGCAACATCTGCATGGGACAGAGGCAGCCATCCCCTGGCACAGCCCAGTTTGTCACACAGCTCAGAAGCCAGGATCCACCACAGTTTCCAAATTAAACCCCTTATTTCCCATTTTATAGAACAAGGGGTAAATGAGGTATCTTTTTTTTCTTTTTTTTTTTTTTTTTTTAAAAAGGCACATACCATTTTTAAGGGCCAAGTCTCTTTGGAGACTGAAACAAACCAAAAAATCAAAGATGAAGGGCATGAGAGTTAAACATTGAGTTAAATATTAGGTAAGTTCCTTTTGATAGCACTCTTTAAAAACACGCAGTAATTTCTGAATCTGATATAAAAGGTATAGCAAAATTTTAAGCATGAGATCATAATAACATGTGTATATGCTGAAAAATTTCCAAATAATTTACATAATGTAAGCTCTCATTTAAATAAAATATACTTTCAAAAATAATGGTTTTTGTACCCCTACATCTGAAAAGCTACAAAGTGTGGAAAATAAGAAACAGATGTACACATTGCAACCAACTGCATTTATACAATTAGTTTTAGTTACAGAAAGAACAGCAAATGTCAGAAAGTCTTTAAAATCTCCAATGAGGCTTTTTTTAAAAAAAAATGTATTTTATTTTTTAATTTTCACAAAGTTTTTTTTAACTAAAAGATGTGCCTATCCTCTTTGGAAAGGGGATCTGGCAATATTTTTCATGCAACATTATAGGCTAACAAGACACGGAGGAATACAGTCATTTACCTCTGGGCCCTTTGTGATACCATCTGTTTAAAACCATTTACTAACTCTACAGCGTATCCAAAGCAGTAATGTTACTCTTTGCACACAGAGTAATGTTTCGAAAGGACATTCTGGTGTAAGACGAGAAGAAAGAAGCCAAAGTTAAATTTGCAACTTGAAAAGCAGGGTGTTCACTGCCTGCAAATGTCGTCTGATATCAGGCTATAAGTGAAAGTTTAAAGGCTATGTGCTCTGCTTATCTTTGTATTTTTATGTATTGCTAATCCTAGCTTCAATTATCTTATGTTTTTCTACCTATTTTCTATGCAGCAGTGGGAATTCAATTACTGAGAGAGCTTTCTTGTGGATGGAGCTGAGGGAATTCCTACAATAGCTATTTTTTTCCAGTCTTCCCATATAGCAAATGAGGAATAAAAGAGAGAAAGAAAGAGGGAGGGGTGAAAAACCTAGATGACAATATTCCTTCTCCCTGATGACTAAAATAAATTCTGAGCTATTCTGAAGAGTAATACTAACTTTAGAAGCTTCTACATAAGCTGCCAGGATCACAAAGGCTAAATAGCTGTCTGAGACAGCCAGGTACACAGAGAAAGTGTTAAAGATATAACAGGTGAAGAGCTCTTCTGCTGAGATTTTGCATGAGGAAATTATTTTTTATGTCAAAAAACTTTTTCTTTTACTTAAGGAAACCTGCACAGAACCTCCATACTGACCAAGATGATTGCAAACAGCCCAAGGAGGCCCCTGCCAACAGATCGTCCTTTTCAACCCTCCCTAAAGCTTCAGGCTCCCAAAGAGGTACGGCAGTGGTAAACACATTGTTCATACTTTAGCCCTGTTCTGACTAGGCTTTAATATCAACTAGAGATTTCCTTCCATACATCTAGTGGAGACACAGTGTCCTCTCCTTTGGCAGGTGCCAGACTGACTGACAGCCCAAGTTACAACCTGAGCTCTTGCAAGTCCGACCCACAACTAAGTTTTAGCTGCTCCCTGCCATGGTCCACTTAAGTAGCCCTCTTGTAAAATGAAAACAATCTGATTTTGCATATGGAGGTATAAGAAGAACACTTTACCAATCAAATAAAATAAAATTCATAATTAAAAAGTTCCCTATGCTGATTCTGATACATAGTCTTTGTAATCCTCACCTGCACTAGAATTTGAAAACAAAATATTGTTTTGCTGGTGCTGAGTTAGGATCCTTCAGAAAAACTACAGTGACAAATTCTGTCTTCAAATGAATCACTGAAGCATCATTGATGCTACTGACTAGGATCTCATCCATGAGACTGATGGTGAAATGATACATGATTCACGATTCACAGTGAGCCTGAGCCATCCAGCCCTGTCTCCCTTTGCATTTCTAGTTTCTAATTTGGTTTAAAACTTCAGGAGGCCATAAAGAATGATAGAGATTATATATCTACCATGATTAGAGTCATGTTTAAACTGTGATGACTATGGCATCTAGTGTCTTAAAGAAATGACTGACAGTCATACATAGATTACACTTGAGTTTCCTGGGGGGCTGTGCTGACGGAGAGGCTGAGGTACAACAAAATCTGACCATAGTATAATTCTGTTTGTAAAAGCAAAAGAGTATCAGACTAAGCCTTTTTTCCCTTTTCTAATTTATTTTATTTTTTTTTTAAAAACATGGACCTACTGCTACTAAATAAAGTGATCTTTTGACCATCTGCAGCTCCAGGGATTATTAGAGGACTGGATGCAAACAAACCTTTACAAAAAGCCAACTGTATTCTTCAGTAGCAGGCTAAAGAACAACATTTGAGTCCCTTCTACTCAACCACAGCTGCAGACATGGCTATGTGTTTTTTTCCCACCTACCTAGTAGCACTCATGGCAGTAAGCCAGCTTGTAGTACAAACACAACCACAGTGTGGATGAGTGAAGCTTCACTAAAATGCATCATAAAGTTTAGCGAAATGCATTGAATCAATTCAGAATTTCAGTATGCTACATTTATCTCCCCTACTAAGAAGCTGCTGAAAAATACCTGACTGCAATACACATAACTTCAGGAAAGGGAATGGGACCATGTCTTCTGCATTTCCCTGGAGAATTCTCCTCATTCCAAGCAAGGAATAAAACACCTGGTTTGTTTTAAGAATAAAGCCCAGCTCTCTGATTATGATGAAGGACTTACTTCCTTGGCCTCTTAATGTTAGAAATTTAATTTAATTTAATCTCTGAGGTTTTAGAAATCAATTAAAGTGGAGAGGGAAGGTGGGAGACAGGAAGAAAGACTTATTTTTTTTGAGAACATATTCAAACAACAGTTACTAATGCTCTATCAAACTATCCCTATCAAACTATCTCTTAACATTTAGTACATAGATCCTTTTTGCCGCGTTCATAGGCCACAGAGACAAGCTCATGCCACAGAACTGTAAGGGAAATTGAGAGAATAAACGTGAGGTGGTGTGCTGCAGGTTTACTCTGCAGTGAGTCACTCGCCTTCCAGTAGAGTGCCGAGAAACCAGAGCTCCCTGACCTAGGTACGAGTAATCCTGTAGCCACATCCCATCATGCTACCAGTTAACGAAAGAAAACCCACAGGAGAGAAAACCTGGGATATGAGACTGACCCTGCTCAGGGTGAGCGGCGGGACCAAAGGTGGGAGCCTGCTGCTGTCTGCACAAACATGCTACAGCCCAGCTGCTGTAGAGAAGATGAGCACCAGCGCCAGCAGATCCCAGTGGCATCTGACAGGTGTGCTCTGGGCGAGCCTTCGCCTCAGCCCCCTTGGGGGACCAGGCATAGGGCTGAAAGGATTTGGCATGGATTAGATGAGAGATAGACATCAGATTTCTCAAACAGGGACAGCTTTGGATATGGCCAGCAGCAGGACACCTGAAAGGCTTTAAAAGCACCTATACAGGCGCATAGTGAGTTCATGCACCTGCAGAAGTTGGGAGCATTATCTGATCACAGATGGAATTTCTACTGTGTCAATTCAACACAAACCCTATTTTAGGAATACAAGTCCTGTACTGAATGTAGTCCTGCACATCTTATCATTCTTCAAACCCCCCAAAATTCTAGGTTTGCTCCAGGGCAATCTTTCAGAAACTAATGATGTACGGGGTTACAATTTTATTTATGAATATAACATAACAATATCTCCTATAAAGGGGATGAGTCTGGATTATCTTCTACGACAGAATATAAATAAATACTGTGATCATATCAATTGTAAGGATGTCTGTATGATAAGCATCTAAAAATGCTTATAGGTATGTGACTCATCCCCACAACATCCAGGTAAAACATACATTTCTCTTAATGGAAACAGACTTAAGAAACAGTTAATTTTCCTCTACTTTTAGGGCTCAGACACATTACTCAACATCAGCTGAGCCACAGTAACCAACTTAATGTATCACAGAATGAAATACATTAGCCCATATTTCTCTAAAATGTTACAACAGTAAGAGCATGAAAAGGTTCTGATGCTCTGTAGCTAATTAACCCGCAATTAGTCAACCCTGTCCCTGAATCTCGCTGATGCAGCCATACCAGTAAAACACAAATGGAATCAAATAATATCACAAAAATTTAGCACTACCAAGTAGAAGTAAAGAACAGGATGTAGACTAATCTTTGCAAACAGAATTAAATTATCTCTCAATTGAGAGCAGAAAGGGAAAGACCCCTCAAAGTTAACATTTTAATATGATTATGGGACACGCCAAATAAAATTTAATAGCTTGCTACATGATTTCTAGTAAGAAGCACTCTGAGAGGAAAAAGGTCAAATAGTTTGTATTCATCACTATTATTCTCCCATTTCCTCAGAGCTTCCAATTTTCCAATCTTACACTATATGCTACAGAATAGCTGATTTGAAGCACTGGAGAGGTAGTGTTATTTTCAAATCCACTTTCTGACAAACACCTTTCAACCTCATATTTCAGAGACACTGAGAGAAAGCAAAATTAAACGATAATCGATAGGAGCTAGAGGTGGTCCTGGGGACCCTAAATCAAACAGTGCAGACAGCTGGATGATTCAGGTCATGACAATCCAAAAAAAAAATTTTTTTTTTCTTATTAATTACAGATCTATTAGCAAGCTCAGTCTGGCTAAGAAACACAATAGTAATGTCAAATGAACATGACTTGGAGATGAACAGCTTTATGAGAGGTAAGACAGCATATAAGAAACTAAAGAAAAAAACTTGGTTAAAATTTTTTTTTCTATATTTTTTTTTACCTGATGGGTGCACCTTTGGCCTGTGCTGGTCTCAAGAGCACAGTTATTGTAGTAGCAGTTTCATTGAGAGATGCATCGACTCCTTCATAGTCCGGTAAAGTGGGAGCTGATTAATGTTGAGTGGAAAGGAAAAGAATGAGAAACAAATCAATGAAAACATTTTGAATTTTCATGAGATTGCAGCTGTTTGCAATATAGTACAAATTCACAATCTTCATCAGCTATGCGAGTCTTTTTTAATGATCTTCTGGTCAGGCACAATCTTTCACTAGAGGCATAAATGGCATTTCACCAACAATTGATAACCCCATCCCTAATGGCTCCCCCTTAAATCATGATACCTATCAAGTTAAACAGGTTTATCCAAGGACAGAAATGAGGAGGTGACTGCTGCAAAATCCCACTTTGGCCTCACTCCTTCTACCTTACAAACAACTATAGTCACCATCTTGAAGACCCAGCCTCTACCACCTCTCTTCTCCCTCATGCAACAATTTAAGAACCTTGCACATTTCCTCTTAAACATCATGGGAGACCACACCAATACCAACCATAGTGCAGGAAAACTGGGCCTGGACAGACATGCACCTGTGGACTGGAACTGGATGGGGGAGTCTATTCCCATGCCCTTTTTTCCTTCTATTTCTAACAATGGACAGTCAGGATGCCATCTGCCATTCTGAACCATGGCAGGTTTCAGCCCAGGGTATTAAGAAAAGCCAAAATAAAATTCAAAACTCAAAGCAGTTCAGGAACTGATTTTCTAATGGACTGTCTGCTAGGCCTTTGTGGCAGCAATATTTGTTGTGGGTTGGATGGCTGGTGTTGATCACTTCAGCCATGCAACTTTAATGTGTTGCCACAGTCCTCACTGGTAATACTGTTGTTGACTTCAGCTCTAGTGCAAGGAAAGAAAATGGATTTTCTGCAACTCAGAAAATAACAGATTTCTACTAAATACTAATCTTTAACAAGCTTGGAAACTGTCTGCATGTGTTTTTTAAATATGTGGCTCTACCTTTACAAAATTGTTAATGATGCCTGTATATTTCAAAATGAACTTTCACAAAAAAAGTTGTTTCCTAGCAGGATGTCAATCATTTAAGTCATAATAATTTTACGATAGTATATCAATAGACAGAAGAGTAATGAAAGATTAAAAGTCTTGCTTTATTAGTCCCAGATTCTAGATGAAGATATAAATTGCTTTTATTTCAGGAAATATTATTTTATAGAAATAACGTTCATTTAATGTTAATTTATAAATTATTATTTACACCATGTTCAGTAGGATCACAGCAGTCACTTGTAAGCATGGCTGAAAGGAATAATTTCACTCCACATTAAAATAAAACTAAGCATTTCTTGAAACATATATATTGCTTTAAAAAAGTATCAGTTATGCAGAATGAAACTAGACAACAGTTCAGCATAAGGCAAGATGAAAAAAAAAAAAAACAGGCTGAAATTCAGATGCAAAGGGTGTCACAGCCTGCCTTTAACCTTTCCTAGTATTAGCCATGTTTCACCAAACAAGAGACCCATACTGTGTGTAGAAAGTGTGGTAGACTGGATTCTGGATGAAATTCCCTAAATTTCTGAGTGGAAAAAGAGGGAGTAACTGAAGAAGCCTATGCACATTGTAGTTGTAAATAATCCAAACATGTTGAGGTGCTTATTTCTCAAAATACTGAAACATCTAGGGGACAGACATATTAGCAAGATACTACATAGTTACACCTTTTATTTATTTTTTTTTCCTCCTAAGAAAAAAAAAAGAGAAGACCAGTATGCAAGTATTACACCATCATTATTTCTGAAAATTTAAGAACCGGAATTTGTTTTGAAGAAAAACAAGAACTTTAAAAGAACCTGAGAAAAATATTAGACTTCAGAACAACCTAATAGCTAGATAGACAGAACACAACACATCATTTGGGCTTCCTTCTGTGGTTTGGTTGGACTCTTTTGCAGGGGCTGGAGTATGAAAATTAAGTCTATCCCAGCCAAAACCAGGACAGGAGTACAAGGGATAGAATTCAATAAATTGTTCCCATTACCTACAACAACAAGCATTTCACTTGCTATATTCAAGGAGCTCTGCCTTGAAATTTCTCATATTTTGATTTATGTGTGTGTTTTCGGGAACTGGGTGAGAAGACTACAATGAATAGCGTCCCATAGAAATAGTAGGCACATTCCAATACTTTATAAATATCCCTTTACAGGACAATATAAGTTTCATTATGGCAGATAATAAGGAAAATTGCGTGCTTTGTGCTGTTTACCTTTCTAAATGACTGACTACTTTGATCTTTGCCAAGCTCTGAAATTGCCATGTCATAAAATCAACCGTCTCTCTAGATAAAGCATTGACTTATCTTCTGCTATCAACTGCACAAGCTACTACCTTATTTTTTGAGCATACTGAAATTTTAAAAAATAAAAATACTAAAGCATTCCATTTGACATTACTTTCTTCTAGAGTTTGCAGTGTATTATTAAGAGGAATAGTGTCAATCTTGGTGCATTGCAGTAAGTGAATAAAGGCATGAGGAAGAAGACCTATACGAATCTGGCAAAAGAAATTCACACTTCCTCCCAACTGCCTCAATTTTGTTATAGCTGTGTGCTGCTAAGTGGTGTCACCTTGAGTAAGTCAGTTAATTTCCTGCATCTGACTTCACCAATCTGCAAAACAAATACAGTACTTAGTGACCTACAGAGTGCTGAAAGGCTTAATTAGTTAAGGTTTATACAGCACTTCAAAATCTTTAGATGAAAATACAAGATCACACAAAATCAAACAGTTGACAACTACAGGTGTGCAATTTCCACCTCACCAAGGATTTGTCCCTGAACTCATGCTACTGTTTGGCAAACATGCTCAAAAACATTTTCAGTAATATAGTTTCACAATATGATAAGATTTTTTAGGGGTTTTCTTTCACATTTTCTGATTTTTCAAGACTTACTAAAAACATCCCCCAAAACCTTATAAAACCAGTGAACATTCACACACACTTTGTTTTGGTTTTACCTGAGATGTTGGTTGTTACATTGATTGTGGTTGCTGGTCCAAACCCTTTGATGGTGCTTGCACGTATAAAGAATTGGTAGGTAGTACCAGGATGCAAGTGTGAGAAGACATGATGCGTGCTGTTCCACAGCTTTGACACGGTTTGCGGAGGTCCTGCGACTGGAACTGCAGGATCAAACGACCGTATACTGCTGTAGCTGACCTGTGAAAACAATTATTTTTGTAACAATTGTCACAGTTTTTGGCACAAGGGGATTAAATTATCTTGGCTGGAAAGGAAACAAAAGACACATGCTCATCTAGCTACCCAGCTATCTTGGGGATACCATGAGGACCTGATATGTATTATTGTAGTCTGGTTCACCTGAAAGCCTATGCAGGTGCCCTTCATCTCTCTTTCTTTGTGATTTTAGTTCATGTATGGAAAGTTTCACTGTTACATTTAAGTTAGGGCAACTCCACCATCCTCCCCATCTCCACCAAAACCCTTTATTTTTTCACTTCCTATAATACATTTCCCTTTCCCCTTCTAATAATCATATTTAAATACTGCCCAAACCAAGCTAATATATTTAGAGCCAGCAATGATATCCTAAAATACTGGTTTTGACTGGGATGGAGTTAATTTTCTTCATAGCAGCTTGTTTGGATTTGTGATTAAAACACAAAAGCTCGCACTTTTGCCCTTCTGATTCTGCCCTCAACCCACAGTGGAGTGAGCGAGTGGCTGAGTGGGGCTGAGCTGCCCAACAGGGTTAACCCACACATTTAAAGAATTTTGTTAGCATTAAATAGATAAACAAACAGATTTAAGTTTGTTTGTTCGGTTAGTTGGTTTGCCTTCCTCTTATAATTTTCTCGTGCACAAAATTATATCCTCTGTTCCTTTAAAAAAGGAGTGCTGGAGAGGATGGAGTTTCTTCCTCAAATCAGCTTGTGTTTCCTGACAACCTCCTGTGAAGGTCCCCAGAAGGCTCATATATTAAATACACTTTAAATAGAATATACAAGGAGGTTTCCTTGAAGGGTGATATCTAATGACCTAAAAAAGCTAAAAACCACTGTTCCAAATTCAATAGCCATCTTACTTTTCGTGTAACCTTCTTTTCCAGCAAAGATGATTTCACAGATCGTGACTGTCATGGCTTTGGGAGGGTGTATAGCAATGATATAAGATTTTTCAAACTAGCACTTCCCACGTGGATTGTAATATTGTTATACTCACACGCCAAAGCCACTTGACAGGGCCAGACAGTCAACAACATATGCCCCATAATTATGATTTTTGAATATCTAATCACTACACAAAATCCAGTATTCTGTAAATGAAAGCAGCACATAACTGAATAGCTCCCTACAGAGTATAAACACCCACTGTCAGCCACCCCGCCTGCTGTACTTTCCTAGCCCTATTCCATGCTTGTTAGCTGTTTAATGATTACCTCATACTGAGTAATGATGCCATTTGGATCCACAGGTTCCTTCCAGTTGAGGAAGATCTTATCTTCAAAAGGAGTTCCTTTCACCGACTTGGCAGGTATAGGGCCTGGCACTACAAACAAAATAAAACTTTTAAAAATAGGAAATTCAAGACACAGAAAAATTAAAGAGATGACAGAACATCCTATTAAAGCCAAAAGTGAGTGTGGTTCTATTTTTATTAATATTCATTAGCGTGCAAAAGGTAGTGGTAGAGAGGATGAAAATGCACTTCAAAGCATATTTGTCATTCACAGTGCAGAGAGAACATGAAGTTGAAACGTTATCCCCACATATGGTTTTCAAAATTTCATGCAAAGTCAAATTGTCTCGTCGTATAGCCAGGGGAAACAGTTCAAGCTAGATTATGACTTCAGGGAACATCACTGCACTCTGTAATAAGCGTATCTTAGGACAAGGACTACATGGTTTTAAAATCCTTTTAAAATGAAATATCAAAGGCAAGGAAGAGCCTCTGTTATAAAGCATCTTTCAAACTAGAGAAATGCTTACAAAATAGTTTTCAGCCACCCCTTCTTATCATTTGTTGTTTTAGAAGGAGGGGGCTGGGCACAGGGCACAGGCAGTGGCTCAGCTGCCACCTCTGCCAGCCACCGCCACGCTCGCGCTGCAGAAGGATCAAACCTGCTTACTTCAGATCTTTCCAACAAGAGACATTTTCAAAGCTTTGAACTGAACCACACTGAGATGACCCTACTTTCTTATTTTAAACAGAACCAATATCCGTGGTGTAATAACAAGTCCAAAGTGTCAGCTCAGGCCTCTTTGCCCAAGTGATTCACTGTACCTGGTAATCCCATCAACACCGGGTGGGAGCGCTTGGTTATCTCCCATTTCAGCTTACAAGATATTTTTGCCTACACATAGAATTCCTTTTTAATCACAGCAGCTCACCTAGATTTGAATACATACATACTGAAAGAAGGGGTGAGGATAAGGGAGTGCCTGAAGAAATCCTGAACCCAAAGAAACACCCTCCCCCCTCAAAAAGCCAAAAATCTGCAGTCTTTCAAGCTAAAACGTTACTTCTATTTAATATATTAACATATATTTCTCTCCTCTCTTAATCAGCCTACTTTCTTCAATGCAGCTTTCAGCGAGCCCCACACATGACATTTCTTGGGTATTAATTATCAAAGCAGACTGAAGTTTTACAAAGTGTAAAAATAAATTAAAACTCACTGGATCAAAGGAAGCACCAGGCACGGTGCTAGTAGCAGCAAGGAGTGAGTGGTCTGTTCCAGCAGTGGGATTTATTTCAGTCTACACAGAAGCTATAAATGATGATCTGACCATTGGTACAAACAACATAATTTGGCACAATAATAATAAATTCATGGAGTCAAAAAAACCCACAAGTAAACAGATGAAAGCTTCACAGAAACTGTTCATCCATCTGTCAAATGAAGACTTAGGAGAAGTTAACTAAAATCCTACACTGCTGCTTTGCTTCAGTGTCCCGATACAGACTGGGCAGTGGATGAAGGCTGACACGTCATAACAGCTCCTGTGTGCTGTTCGTGGCACGGAGAGACTTGCTGTAGGCAACAGCAAGTTTTTCGTGGGAATGCTCTACTGTTTTTATTCTCTACATTTCAAATGAGGTCTGAGTATACCCTGATGCACACATTTTCCCTGGAAGATGTGTGCGTGTGTGTGTTTGTGTGTACATGCATGTACATCTGTCTTTGGGAGACAGAATCTGAAATTTGACATTAAAGCATGTTAAAGCATGCCAGGTAAAAAGAAAACAGACACAATTGCTCAAAAACCTGCAAAATATTTTTTGTGTGGTGCTTTTAAAGAACATGTTTCATATTCAGTTGAAACTGGGTGTAGAGCTCTACATTTGAGGGTTGCATATAAAGCCTCCTACATTTTCTGTTTAAACACCCAAGCAGGAGAAGCCTCTAGCCTCATCCACATCGCATGACTGTGTTTTCTTCTCCTGCAATATAAAATTCATTGCTTGTGGCAGCAGCAGCAATGTTAAACCGACTGGAACTACATGATGATCCCAGTTAGTTTCATGCTTCCTTTCCTACTGGCATGGGAAGTGCACAAGAACAGAAGTGAGTACAGCAATGAGCAGCTTGCTGGGAATCCCAGTAAAAATAAATAAGGTCAGAAAGTAAAAGAGAGCTAAGGTCTAGAAAAAAGAGAACAGTAATTCCCACAAACCTCACTACCCCTGCACATTCACCAAAAATGACACTTAGGGTCTGCTTAAATTATTTGGGAGTTCAAACGGAATTTAAAAAAAAAAAGTTCAAATGCCTAGAAATAGGAATATCAATTAATTTTAGTATGGAGGACACACTTTGATGGGTCTGAAGTTATTTTTTTCCTTCCATTTTTCAGTTCATCCACAGTAAAAATGTATTTTAATTGCACAGCTTTACTAAAGGGGCAAAGGAAAGTGAGGAAAGAGAAAAAAACAGGAGCAAAAGAATTTGCTTAAAGAACAGAGTATCCATGAGCAGGCCCATAGATTGATCAGTCAGGTTAATCAAAATAACGACTAAACATCTTCATATGTGTTTTGATGTCTTTGTTCTCAGAAACAAACAGAAATCTTAGAAAACCCCAAACAAACAAAAGAACCACAACAAAAGAACAACAGCAAGGTAACCTGTTGGTAACACTACTTTGAAGACTCAAACTGCCACTCTCCATGAAGGCAGCTGTTGCTGTCTATTCCCTGTGACTCCCAGCAGGACTCTAAGGACTTAGGAAATACCTTAAACTTCACCTTTCAAAAGCAGTGTTAAGAGTCTTCCCTTTTATATGTTATTTAGCAAGGACTCAGGTGAAAAACTGACAGGTAAATTTCATCCTTGTGTTGATAACGGCTTTCAGAAACCTCAAAACCAGCCCAGGCGGCTTTCTTCAGGCTTGCATGTGCATCTCCAAAAACTCCATTGCTCACCACAGTGCCTTGTTGCTTCTTTCTTGACTCCCATTCTTCTTCCTATGAGAGCTGTTGCTCTTCCCCTTGGATTTACAGACAGTCTATACTAAATCAAAACACTCAAGACTATTACAACTGTATGTTAAGGTGAAGTATGTTACTTAAAATTCCCTATCAATGGCTAGGTATCTGAAGAATTCAAAAAGTGTAAGTAGCTGCCAGAGGAGTTGGACTTGGACCTTTTGGCCCCCACACCCTCTGGTCCCATTGATTTTCTTTCCATCTGCTGACCTTTTGAAGTGTGATCCCACCATCTCTCAGTTAGCACAACAGTAAACACACTTTCTTGAACATGCATTATTCCATGCTAAACTTACAACATGTCAAAATTTACACTTATCAGAAGAAGTGAAATCATTTAGGTGGGTTTAACTGTATGGGTTTCAGATGAGATTTTGAACTTAAGCAAAAAAACAACATAATTTTCCCTATAAAAACGTACAGGAACATAAAATGCACATGTATATAAAAGTAACATAAAAAAATTCCAAGGGAATTTCAGCAACGTTTTATAGTGGAAACATCACACGCTCTTCTTTCAGAATTTACATGCATCTCCAGAGCCCTTTTAATGAAGCTATATATTCATATAGTAAATAGTTGATAATCTTTTCTTCCATATACATGTATGGGATGGTGGACTTTTATAAATACTCTGCATAATAAAAGTACAAACCATCAATCTGACATCAGACCAATTAATTTTAGAGCAATATATTTGCATTAAATTATGTCACAGTCAGATAAATTGTTATTCACAAACAGTGTCATTTAAACCTTGGTCTACACTAACTGAGCAGGAAATTTATATTACAATACACTACTTCTGGAAGAACAACATATTAACTGACACCAACCACTATAAAAATGAATTTATATTGCTTCAGTTTTCCTGCTACAAAATAATGAAAGTGCTTGCAAACAGAGTATTTTTATTATTATTATACTCCGTGAAAGCTGTGTGGAGTATTATTATGCTACACGGCAAAGGCTATGTGCACCGTTATACTGGGAAAAATTTCTTAGGGGTACTCAAAAAGTAAAGTGTATCAGCAGCAAACTTACAGCCTTTCTCCAAAGGTAGATGCTCATTTTCAGGAGATTGTGACAGTCAATCTCTTCAAGTGTTTAAATGTTACAAGCAATTAGAATGGCCCACCTTTCCCTTGGCTTTTTCTGAGGGATTTACCATTTTAACTTTATGTCTTGTTACAATTTGAGACTAAGGCTTAAACAGAAACAACTTTTATATAATAAAAACAAACAAAAAAATCAGAATTGCTATTACTAGTCTTTACCACAAGAGGTTAAACCAAAGGTGATAACAAAAATGACTTCTTTCAAAATCGCTGAAGTTGCACTATTTGCAGCAAAGAAGAATGCTATTGAGAAGAAAACTGATTTCATAGAGTCTCCATCAGTGCACATGCTCTTCGGTTAATGATCTCTCCTCCCAGAGGAGCAGGGCTGGCGCGGATGCCCGGAGAGGTGGCAGGGGTGCTGCCCTGCCCACGTAGTGGCAGTGGGAGGTCACTGGGCTGTGGTCCCTGGGGGAAGCCTGCAGCGCTGCAGGGGTCTGTGCCACCTGCCAGGACCACTGCTGGATTGCATGGCCACAAACCTGCTGACGCCTGCGATGGATCCCTGTACCTATATAAAATTACCTACTTAACAAACATGAATGCTTACAATCAAGCTCCTAAGCAAGCTGACAGAGGCTGATCAATCTCAGCGGCAATCACTATAGATATTGGCACAAATATCAAATGCGATCAAATCCTCCAGTTCTGGATTTGCTGAATTTGGGGGCTCAGGCACTCAACGCAGTATTTTATTTAAAGCCTTTTTATGCCAAATGCTGACTTCAGTAGTCCTCATTTCTGGGATTTGGAAATGCTTCTCCAGGTCAGGGTGAAATAACCTCACGTACCTTACGACTTTCTAAAAATATGCAAATCAATATTCAGAGAGTGCTTGCAGCTAGCACATGGGTTAGGAGTAACGGGAACTCATGGGCCCGGGTGTGAGCCCTCATTCCACTGCAAACTGCTGAAACAGCTGCTAATTCTGGCCCATTTGCA